CTCAGATGTACTATTGTACTTTTTAGTCATCAAATATGATATAAAATGGTTTTATATAATATCTGTAAACAGATGCTCAGGTAGCAGCTGTATTTGTCTCCAGTGTTTCTCCACAGAGAGGTGGATCAGAGGAGACCCTGAAGAAGACCACATCCCTGAGAGGAAGAGGAGGGAGGAGGAAGTCTGGCTGGTTCCAGGTCGAGTAAAGTCACCTCTGAATAAACTCATCCTCTCCCAGTTCACCAGATTAAATCAGCCTCAAGCACCATGTTCATGTCCCACATCAGACATGAGTTCTACCTCCAGAGAGCCTCTCCATAGCCCAGTACTTTAGTACTTCTTTATTCTGATACTTTCTACTTCTACTCTCTCTTTACTTGTAACAGAGTATTTCTACACTGTGGTATTTGTACTTATACTTTAGTAAATGATCTGAGTAGTTCTTCTACCTCTGTCCATCACACCATCTTTACAATAGACGATCTACAACGTGAGCGTGAGGCTGAGCAGGTGCATTGTGGGAAACGCAGTCTATGACGCCGTCTGTTTATTTCTCGACGTTTAACGCCTCTTTTCTCTGTATATTTAAGCTAAAATGTGAAACGTAGCCGACATTAAACACGGTACTGATTCAAAGGACACATTCTCCACCTGTAGTCGTCAGGATGGACTGTAACATGGAGCCTGGTGACGGTAAGAAGACGACTTTATGGAGCTAACTGACGGATATAGCGTTAGCTTTACATGCTAACACAGCTAGCCGTGTCTGCAGCGTTCAGCTGTGTCTTCTTCTGCAGCTGTTGTGTTGTTCATGAACCGTGAGACTGTTTAAAGCTGCTGTTCCGCATCAGTGTCACGCTGCAGAGTTGTGCACCGACGGTGGCTTCCATTGTTATTTATTATTAAATTACAAGAAACATAAACAACAGCAAGAGGACGACAAGAGCAGTGATACAGGCCAGCTAACATCATGTAGTGTGTGTGTGAGAGAGATTAATAATTATTGAATTATTGCTTTTCTTTCAGTTAATGCTGAACGTTTCTTGCTGCAGCTCCTTCAGAACGTTTCTCTGTTTTTAGACTGTTGGCTGGAACAACAAATGCATTTCTTTGATATTTCATTGACTGATGAAGAGAGTAAATATAAAACTGTGTTCATCACGAGGTACACGCTGTGCAGCAGCAGATATTAAAGTGGAGGGTAACGATGAACACTTCCTCTCTGTCAGGCGGCAGCAGTGCCACGCCCACAGAGGAGATGAACGGAGCTGGAAACTTGATGGATTTCCTGGACGAGCCTTTTCCTGACGTGGGCACGTATGAAGACTTCCACACCATCGACTGGCTGAGGGAGAAGTCCAGAGACACGGACCGCCACCGCAAGGTGTGACCAGGTTCTCCACATACCCTCGTGTATACGTAGGAGTATTCATCAGCTGTAAGTTCTCTCTGTGCTCGTCTACCAGATCACCAGTAAGAGTAAAGAGTCCTTCTGGGAGCTGATCAAGAGCCTGCTGGACGCCTGGTCGGGATGGGTGGTGATGCTGCTCATCGGCCTGCTCTCAGGTCAGTCAGGAGGGACCAGGACGCGGAACGTTCCCCAACAGATCCCTCTCAAAACATCACGTCTCACTGGGGAACGTTGTGCCTTCTGCAGGCACGCTGGCCGGAGTGATCGACCTGGCGGTGGACTGGATGACCGACCTGAAGGAAGGCGTGTGTCTGACGGCCTTCTATTACAGCCACGAGCAGTGCTGCTGGACGTCCAACGAGACGACCTTCGACGACCGGGACAAGTGTCCTCAGTGGCAGAAATGGGCCGAGCTGATGACGGGCCACGCCGAGGTCAGACCATGGGAACACGAGGAAGCACACGTTTGTAGAGAAGTCTCACTGTGGAGCAGCGTTTGACGGGCGGAGAGAGGATCGATGTGTGTTTGGTCTCTTTCAGGGAGCGGGGGCGTACGTGTTGAACTACTTCCTGTACGTTCTGTGGGCGCTGCTGTTCTCCTTCCTGGCGGTGTCGCTGGTGCGAGTGTTCGCTCCGTACGCCTGCGGTTCAGGAATCCCAGAGGTGAGAGAAGCGCTGACGACGGGTCACGCAGCTCTCCGACAGGCTCCAACAGTTGCGTGTTTGTTTTGCAGATCAAGACGATCCTCAGCGGCTTCATCATCCGGGGCTACTTGGGGAAATGGACCCTGCTGATCAAGACGGTCACCCTGGTTCTGGCGGTGTCGTCGGGCCTCAGCCTGGGGAAGGAGGGCCCTCTGGTCCACGTGGCCTGCTGCTGTGGAAACCTCTTCTGCAGCCTCTTCTCCAAGTACAGCAAGAACGAGGGCAAGCGCCGAGAGGTACGGTGCACATGTCAAACCAACGGTACACAGCTCAGTGCGTCACTAAACACCAACGTCCTTTAACAAGGAACTCAAGACTAAGAAGTGTCTGTGTCTCACCTCCAGGTGTTATCAGCTGCAGCAGCAGCTGGCGTGTCGGTGGCCTTTGGAGCGCCCATCGGAGGAGTTCTGTTCAGCCTGGAGGAGGTTCGTGAAACATCCCCACCAGAACCAGTTGTCTCTGAGGGACCGGGTCCTCAGCGGTTCATGTCTAACGACCCTCCGTCTCCCCTGCAGGTCAGCTACTACTTCCCTCTGAAGACTCTGTGGCGGTCGTTCTTCGCCGCGCTGGTCGCCGCCTTCACACTGCGCTCCATCAACCCGTTCGGCAACAGCCGCCTGGTGCTCTTCTACGTGGAGTACCACACGCCGTGGTACATGGCCGAGCTGGTCCCGTTCATCCTGCTGGGCGTGTTCGGCGGCCTCTGGGGGGCCCTGTTCATCAGGGCCAACATCGCCTGGTGCCGGCGCAGGAAGACCACCCTGCTGGGTAAGTACCCGGTCCTGGAGGTCATCGCCGTGACGGGTCTCACCGCCGTGCTGGCGTTCCCCAACCCGTATACCCGCCGCAGCACCAGCGAGCTCATCTCTGAGCTCTTCAACGACTGCGGCGCGCTGGAGTCGTCTCAGCTGTGCGACTACATCAACAACCCCAACATGAGTCGGCCGGTGGACGACATCCCAGACCGACCGGCGGGGCCGGGGGTCTACAACGCCCTGTGGCAGCTCGCCCTCGCTCTCGTCTTCAAGATCGTCATTACCATCTTCACCTTCGGCATGAAGGTTAGTACGAGGAAGAGGAACGTGGAGACAAGTAAAGTTGTGAGCTCCAAACAGAAACCCTCGTCACCTTCCTCTCCAGATCCCGTCGGGTCTCTTCATCCCCAGCATGGCGGTGGGAGCCATCGCGGGGCGCATCGTGGGGATCGCCGTGGAGCAGATGGCGTACCACCACCACGACTGGATCATCTTCAGGAACTGGTGCCGGCCCGGCGCCGACTGTGTCACACCGGGACTCTACGCCATGGTGGGCGCCGCCGCCTGTCTGGGTGAGCAGAGTACAATGTGATGACGGTTGACTCGCAGTCGCATCTTTAACTGTGTGTTAACGTTTGAATACCTTTCTAACCAGGCGGAGTGACCAGGATGACCGTCTCCCTGGTGGTCATCATGTTCGAGCTCACCGGCGGTCTGGAGTACATCGTCCCCCTGATGGCCGCCGCCGTCACCAGCAAGTGGGTGGCGGACGCCTTCGGGAAGGAGGGCATCTACGAGTCGCACATCCAGCTCAACGGCTACCCGTACCTGGACGTCAGGGACGAGTTCACCCACCGCACGCTGGCCACCGACGTGATGCGGCCGCGCAGGAACGACCCGCCTCTGGCCGTGCTCACCCAGGACTCCACCACGGTGGAGGACGTGGAGGCGCTGATCAAAGACACCGACTACAACGGCTTCCCGGTGGTCATGTCCAGAGAGTCGGAGAGGCTCATCGGCTTCGTCCAGCGCCGGGATCTCACCCTCGCCATCAGTAAGTTCGCTGCTTCAGAGTCACCCGGGATTCGATGATGTTTTAACGGACTTCTCCCTCCCTTCAGAAAACGCCCGTCAGAAGCAGGACGGCGTGGTGAGCAGCTCCGTGGTCTACTTCACCGAGGACGCGCCGCAGCTGCCGGCCAGCGACCCGCAGCCGCTGAAGCTGCGACGCGTCCTGAACCTCAGTCCCTTCACCGTCACCGACCACACGCCTATGGAGACGGTGGTGGACATATTCCGCAAGCTGGGCCTCCGCCAGTGTCTCGTCACCCGGAGCGGGTAGGACCAGGACTCAGTCCGACCATTTAGCAACATTCAGAGAAACACAAACGCTTTTCTACGTCTGATTTATTCAGTAAACTAACACGCTTTTCATTGTTTAAACTATGAAACCTCTTCTTCTTCCCTTCATTGACGTGTTGTCCTGTGTTTCTGCTCAGGCGTCTGCTGGGCATCATCACTAAGAAGGACGTCCTGCGTCACATGGCTCAGATGATGAACCAGGATCCAGAGTCCATCATGTTCAACTAGACGAAGCGGCCATCGAGGTAACGGAAAGGACCAATCGTCTGCAGGCTGCTGATCAGCTGATCCTTCTTCTTACGCTTCATGTCACGCTTCAGAGGCTGAAGACACTTTTTACAGCTCAAGTGAGAGGAATCTAATCAATAATCAATACGAGGAAGTCTGGAGAAACCAGACGTTTGGTAAATAGCGTTTAACTTCTGTCATTCTATATCAGCTTCCATGTAGACGATCTGATTGGTCAGAAAGTAAATGTCCTGTTTCCTCTCTTTCTCAAGTTCACTGAACTCTTATTTCAAGCACACCTTATGGATGACGTCGTCCTCTGTGATGACGTCGTCCTCTGTGACGACGTCGTCCTCTGTGACGACGTCGTCCCCTGTGACGACGAACCCTCCGATCTGAACCCTGATATCTTGTTCTGTGAGGTGTCTGTTGCTCTCTGTGTTTGTTTTGCTGCCATATTCATATGAACGTGTTCTTGTTTCTGTCTCTTTGACCTGAAGACTCTCTGACACACGTTCACTGAAGCAGTTAAAGGGTTCAGAGAGTCTTTGGAGTCTTTGGTACGTAACGTGTGTCAAAAGGTTCAGAGAGTCTTGAATGGTGTGATGTTCACAGAGAAGATGTGTGAGAGGTTTAAAACACGACTAACTAACAGGAGGCAGCAGGAGACCAGTGACTGCTCTTATATCGAAAGTATGTTGGACTAGAGTATTCCTCCTCCTCCACCTATAACTCCTCCTCCTCTGAGGATCTGATTATAAACATCCCAGTGACTCTGTAGCTCTTCTGTTAGCGACACTGAAAGCTAAATGCTCCTTCCTGTAGGAGACAGGAAGTGAAGTAACTAACGAGGTCACTAGAGTCCTAAATGTTGATCATATTTCCATCATTTCCAGCACTTACAATAAGAGAAGCACAGAAGTGTTAGTTTCTGCTGGCTGAGTGTCTTTATCTGTGTGTTGTGGTGTTTGTTGCTAACAGCTGCTAACGGGTCATAAACACTGTAAACTACGAGGGGTTAAGTTTAAACACAACGTTTTGTCTTTAAATGCCAAGAGAATGTATTCAGATATCTGCTGTATATATTAAAGATTTACTGTGTCATGGTTAATTTAAAACACTCATGTTTATTTATTTTAACACTAAATATTAATATTTATCAGATGCACTCCTTTAAAAGATGGATATTTGCACTTTTGTTCTTTTTTTTTTTTTAATTTGTAAATGAAGTGATTAAAAAATAAACAATGTTAAAAACAACACGATGGCTTTGATTCTTCCTTGCTCCCTTGATGACTTACTTGCTGACTTGCTTCCTTGCTTTGTTCTAAAGATGTTCATCTTAAAACACATTGAAATAGTGAAACACAGAACAATACACATTTATCTCTCATATTTATATTTATTGTCTTTTAGATTCACATCAATCAAAATAAATGACAAACAATTTCAAACCAGAGAGAAAACATCTCAAATATCAGAATATCAGACAAACTCTCAACAACAACATATAAAATGTTTTTAAAAGCTTAAATATTGAAGGAAACTGAGCTCATTATAATATTCAGGAAGTCTTTCTTCAGATATCAGAACTTCCTCTGACTCACTTCTGGAGATCCGTCTTACATCCTGATATGGAAAGTATTCTGGACTAGTGTATTCCTCCTATACAATCTCATCCTGTGCTCCTCCTATACCTCCTTCTCCTCCACCAGCTCCTCCTGTTGTGCTGCTCCTCCCCTCCTCCTCCTGCTTGCTGGCTCTCTCCAGGTCAGAGTAATATTCGAGGGCTCGTCTCACCGGCTCCAGAATATGTTTCTGTGACGACACGACAGCAGCTTCAACACTCCATGAAGATTAAAGTTAAGTTCACTTGGTCACTTTCTTGCTGACTTGCTTGCTTCCTTGCTGACTTCCTTGCTTGCTCACTTACTTGCTGACTTCCTCACTTACTTGCTTGCTTACTTGCTCACTTACTTGCTGACTTACTTGCTGGCTTGCTTATTCACTTACTTGCTCACTTGCTCACTTCGTCACTTATTTGCTGACTTGCTTGCGTCCTCACTTACTTGCTTACTTGCTCACTTACTTGCTGACTTCCCTGTATCATCAGCCAGTGGTTCATTCCGTGCTTTGAGTCGATAGGAATCGGATCAATAAGCAGAACGTCTCATGTTTTACCTCCAGGCAGGGGAACAGCTTGGTGAGCTCCGTGAAGAGCGGCAGGAGGACAAACCGGATGAAGCTGGTCTGAGAGGACGGTCTGGACACTTTGTCTCGGTCCATGAAAGGAGCCACTGGGAGCCCTTTGAGTTTCTCCGTGTCGCTCTGCACCACAACAACAACAGGTTTTACTGCTGAGTTGGCTCTAATGAGTTCATTCTTTAAGGGTTCCCCTTCCCTCCTGAACTCTTTGATAAATGACTCTTTCACCTCAGCGTGACTGTTTCCAGTCGCTTCCTGTTTATTGATGAGTAACGCGAGAGTCAACAACACACCTGGTTGAAGAACTCCTGCAGCAGACAGTCCAGCCAGGGCTCGGCCACCGCCATCGGCCTCGCCTCGTTGGAGATGTCGCTCACCTTCACCATGATGTTCATCAGCTGGAATCAGACCAGAATCAGCGGCTCTTCACTTTTACACACCTGTTAAATCTCACTTTGCCCTTAAAAAATATGAAACTGTTGGTTTAGCGATAAAGGGAACGATAGAAGCTCAGAGAGAAGTTCTAGTAGTTAACATTTCTGTTATGTGCAGAGCAACAACAGGAGGTTTTAATGTTTTAAATCTAAAACATGTCTGTGTTATTCTCTACCACTTCCTTGTGCTCCTTGTTGGTGAAGTTGAACACCGGTTGAATGCTTCTGAACTTGTTGAGGATGTTGTTGTGTCTCGCCATGTCGGTGGCCAGAATGCACCTGAAAGGAGGTTTAAGTTTAAGTGAACAAGAAGTCCGACCGGCACACGGAGGAAGTGATGGAGGCCGAAGTCTCACCTGATCATTCCTCCTCGGATGTGTTTGTACTGATCGCTGCTCAGGTTTTTGAGGATGTTGCACTCCGGCTGCAAAGAGAAAGGAAACAGGAAAGCCTAATTAATGTTTAATGTTACCGGGGGACGTTTTAATATTGTTAAGTTCAAACTTTGCATTTAAAAAACAGCATGAGATAAAGTATTATTCTGCCAATAAAACACCAGATAAAAAGTACAATATCTGAACTATGATTTAAAATGATACCACGAAAGGGAAACAACTGATACACGTTACTGCTGGAGTCCCACAGGGATCCTGTCTCGATCCCCTTTTATTCCTCCTCAACATTAATGGATCTCATTTATGTTTCTGTTACTTTTTGCTTCCGTATGACTTAAGTTTTGTGACATTTACTGCCGAAAACAAAAGTTATCGTGAATCTATTTCTTGCCTTTTCATTGGAAATAACTCTTTGGTGATATTTAGTTTGCATTAAGATCCTGAAATCAGAGTGGTTTATGGGTAATGTTTCCTCTCTCTTTACCTCACATGTATTTAATCTGAATATTCTGAGTTCCCTTCATGTTTTCGTACCTTGGTCATGATGCCGAAAGCGACGGCACAGTGGTGGTTTTCTAGGGGGGAAATGTCGTTGTAGCGCAGAGCCAAGTCGGTCTGAGCGTTGATCTGTGTGACATTAAAACAACAACAACATCAGAGATGAGCGGTGAACAAACGGCCGGACAGACGGGCAGAGAGTCAGCGGGCTGACCTGGTAGACGTTGTTGTAGCCGGGGTGGTCCAGGTCGTGGCACAGAGCCGAGGTCAACATGATCAACAGGTCGATTCTGGATATTTTACTCCTGAGGTCCGTCAGCCAGATGAGCCCGTACAGCTGCAGGACGAGACACCAGTAACACCGGTAACACCAGTAACACCGGTAACACCGGTAACACCAGTAACTCACTGGGAGGCTGAGACTATCACACACACACACACACACATATATATAAACATCAGCTGTGTGTTCTACTGTAGGCTGCTTTTGTTTTATGTTCGGATTTCCCCCCAAAAAATTAATTGTCATTAATTTAGATTTTTTTTTTTGTATTTTAAATAGTTAATAATAGTCGTAAATAATAATATAATAATAATAGTTACACAAATAATAATATAATAATAATAAGAATTATAATTATAGAATAATCTCTATTTCAGGCTCAGTTTCTTCTTCTTCTCCCATCCTTCCTCTGATGAAGACGAAGACGTCTGTACCATCTGAGTGACGCAGAAGCAGTGCCTGAAGTTGTGGAACGGGATGTTGTTGTAGTGGCAGTAGACCTCGAACAGGAAGTTCTGCAGGACGTCCAGCTGGATGTGGAACGCCATCAGGAAGTCCAGGTCGATGAACATCACCTGGAGGAGCACCAGCATCTCCGCCTCCTCCCACTGCCTGTGGGCATCACACACACACACACACACACACAGGTGTGAGAGTGTCTGTGTGTGTGTGTGTGTGTGTGTGTGTGTGTGTGTGTGTGTGTGTGT